TGGGTTGCCTTACTTCGACCTCCTGCACTGAATTCCACAAACATGAGATCCATCATATTCTGACACACCTGATAAGATAATACGAAAAGTATATTTGAGTGGGCTCTTCACAATCTTTAGTTTCCAAACATAAAGTTTACTTTCTTCCAATTTTTAACAGATATTTGCCACAAAAACATTACAATAAGGTAAATTTGTATTTCCCAGGAACAACGTTTTTAAGAATAGTTACAAAAACTCTAATTTAATTTGTAAGTGATGAAGAGGCAAACAAAAAACTCTTTCAAAATAAGAAATTTTTTTAAACTTTTTTGTATGTAAAGTCATTTTTAAACAAGTCTAAAGTAGCTACCAAGACCGTAACCCAATTCAAGAACTTATGTTTTTCTTTTCATTAAATTTTCAACTGTTTCGTCTCATCAAGGCCCACAGCTCAGTCAGATTAATTTATCGAGTCCCCACATGCCGTTTAGCTGATTCATTTTAACTTGTGTTTTTTGACATTTAACACACAAGTGCAGAAATATGCTGCGTGTTTGCATTTGTTAATTGGCCTTATTTGCTTTCAAACATGACCAATGGCGGTTTATTTTTGTCTCCTTTTTCCATTGGCATGTGACAGGGCGGATATATTTTTGGATCCGCATTGGGCTCCCTTTCTGGGCTCCCTTCCCTTCCCCTTCTTTCCTTTCATTTCCTTGCATACTTAGCGTCTGGGTGCGGCGTTTGTGTCGCTGGATGGATGACAAGTGCCCAAATGTCGCCCAAACAAAGGACCTGTGCGGCACAATGAGGAATTGGGAGTGGGGAGTGGGGAGTGGGGAAAGGGCGGGGTGAAAGGAGCATTCCGGGGCAGGAAAAAAGTTATGACACACCTACAGCATTTAATCTGACGTCCTTATAGTGGCTCTTCTCGGCGTCCAGTGAGTGATAACCATCAATCAAGCTGCTGCCGGTTAGGCGGTAGGCGTTCCGCTGGCTTTTCCCTCAGTCCGGGAGTCCTTAGTCCGGAGTCCGGAGTCCGGAGTTCATTTCAATCATTAGCGTGCCAAGTCAGCCAGCTCCTGTTGATGCTGTCAAATTAATAAAGAGCCCGGGCTGACCAAGAGTTGGCCAACGGGGGAAACTGAAACCGAAACAGGCAACGCCCCCGGTTCTATTCCCACACAGCGAGAAAATTCCTTGGCTATCAATAAATCATCGCATTCTTTTTCCAGTTCAACATGAGGGCCACTGGGTTGTCATTTCAATAATGCAATTGGATCCATAAATGTTTGACTTTATTTTGTACTTACTTCGACTTCACCTTAGGCTTTTAAGCTTTATACAAAATAATTCACTAACCCACTTTACAACAATATTATCCATTAATTGTAAAACAGCAGGATACATTGCTTTAGAAACTTTATTATCTGATTGATATGACAAGTGCCTTGGTAAACGATTTTTGTAAGTCTTTCATAATATAAATTAAATTACAACAAAGACAACTTTAATATTATTACATTGCATCAACAGATATTACATTTGGTATAATGACTAATTGCATTGCTTGAGGTTATTAATATGCCAATAAGGGCAAAATAAATAATTTAATTGGTAGATAAATTTCAAGAAAATGAGTCAAATTACATTAGATGCTGTTTAATTTAAAGGCTTTCACCAATCAAAGAAGCTAAATAGTTATGAAGCTAATATTTATAAAGTTTTAGTTAGTCAATAGAAGCTAAACAAAGTAGAACTGTTTAACTTATTCATTTAGATAGCTTTATTTAAGAAACATTTATTTTGCAGTGCTGTTAGCCATTCCCACACGCTTTAAGTCACTGGCGCTCATAATGCCCATAAAAAATTTGTCATCATTAGCCGGGGCGAATGACGCTGACGTACTGGGTCCGCCCATCTATCAATGTGTGTGTGTCTGTATGCGTATCTGAATCCGTGTCTGTGCGGCAGGAGCAAGGACACTTTAAGAGATTGCCCGGCTTGGGCCCTTTGCTGCATATTAGTCGGCAGCTTAAAGCGCTCGTTCGATTGATTGATTATGCATCGGGGCCAGTGGGCCACTGGGCAAAGGTCGCCACTCGCTTTAAGGCTTTAAGCCGCCCATTAAGGTTATTAAACATGCTTCTGCACGGGTGTATGTGTGTGTGTGTGTTGGTGCTCGTATGTGGGCTATTAGAAACGATAATGGATTGCGAATATTAATTTCTTTGCATGACGAAAAGAATCAACAAAGAACAATGCGTTTAATCTTTATAGACACGCAGCCGCAGGAGAGGGACGGACAATGCCTTGTGCCAATAATGATAACCGGAAGCCATTAAAGGAAGTTTCAATACAAGAAACACTCTCCCACGCACACACACACCCGCACGCTCGCACACAAACGCATGAATGCCTCAATAGGCAGCTTAAGGCTCTGCGCTTTCCTTTGTGTGTATGTGCACTGCCCTTAAAAATGTCTACTAAGATTATGAGTTTTAATTGAACAAATGAAAAGAATTAATTACTAAGCTTATACGTCAAAATGCCTTTCTTAAGCAGGCACTAAAGTTCAATCATGTTTACTTTTAACTTCCAAGTCCAATTAGTAAATTGTAAGTATTTTAAGACATATTTAGGGTAGCAGTAAACTAATAGGTTTCAACAAATTGTATTTTTTCAACTTCCTAGTACTGTAGATAAGGCAAACATAAACTATTGTAGCGCTTATGTAAATTAGTTTAAGAACTTAGGTGCTTCATTTTGTATCTATGGTTGAAAAACTGAAAACATAATTTACTTCAGGAAACAGTCATTTTTAAATTCCCCTGACTTAAGGTGACATTTGGTTATTAAGAAACTGAACTGTTATTGTTTAAGAATGACGCCTGAGCTCGTAAATAAATTAGTGCCCCCACCCTTTCTTTCGGTGTACGGGCGTGTGGCTGTAGTTGTGGCTGTTGTTTGCCTTCCATTTCCATTGCATCGTCGGCGGCAGAGGCGATATTGTAATTTTTATTCCTCTTTGTGCCATTCAGGCGGCAAGGAGCAAAGGGAAAACGGGAAACCGGGAAAAGGGAAAAGCTGCGAAAGGAAAGCCGACCTGCCAGTCGAGCGTTCAATTCCCTTTCAATAAGGAAGTGCCACTGGGTGGTTCTCGGTGGGCGGGGTGTGGGCTTGCGTTTCTGTTTGAGTGTGTGCCACCGCACACGCACCTTGCAATCTTGCTAATGTTTTTCTAGGGAGCGCGTCTTAGAAGCCGCCTGCAGTTTGCAGTTTACAGTTTACAGCCGTTTGTGCTCGGCAAACACCCGGCGGGACGATACGGAAGTCAGGTTGGAAATCCGACCCTGGCTTAGGTCATGCCTTCTTGCCACCAAGCCCACTTGCCACCTTGCCACCGGAATTATGCAGGCCGAAAGGCAGACAAGCTCGACTTGTGCCCAAGTTTTCGGGGACGGGCGACCATCAATGGCACACACTCGCATTTTCAATTGATTAAACATCAAACGCACAGGCATGTAACTCCGCGTTCGTGTGTACGTGTATGTGTGTGTGTGTGTGTGTGTACAGCCTGCATTTTTTACGTGCCGCAGCGCAAAAATGCCGGGGAATATTATCCGAGAGCATTATGTTGATGCCGATATATACTCGCACAATATGAAATTCCATTGCATTTTATAGGCAGGCAGGCAGCCAAGGAGAAGACAGCAGAAGTACAAAAAGCAGAAGGAAGGAGCAAAAGTGGTGGAATCTCTCGACCAAAAGGTACCTAGACAATCAATTTCTTATTCGTACTTTAAACGAACTACCTTACTACAAGCTGAGTTTTATCTACTTATAGTCAGCAGAGTTTGAGTTTACTTATAGAACACGTAGTACCTACAGGATGACAGAGGAGCCATCATACCCCTGTAATGGGTATCGAAATCAAACACACACACACTCTGAAGGCGGGAACACAATGGAAGGCAGTAAAAACCTGCGGCAGGCCATTGTGAGGCATAAACAAAAGATGCAGCAGATGGAAGGCGGAGCTGCTGGATCGGCCAGAATAACAAAATACCGCAGACAAAAACCGAAAGCTGTTCGAGCGTGCAAAAGGTGAGGTTCCATCCCATATCCCATTCCCCACTCCCCAATCTCGAGGCCCCAATCCCCATTCCCCACTCCAGACACGAGGGCCCAAGTACAAGTGAGTAGTTTTAGTTGGGGATGGCCTTTAGAAATGTGGCAAAGCAGAATTTATAGCTTGGAAATTAATAACAAAAAGCATACAATGAACTAGTGCATATATACCCGCCAGGCCATCCAAAGGGCCCTGACTAATAACGTTCCGCACTCTGAAGTGTATTAGACAACAGTGCGTATGATGAATGCCATCGAAGGACTTTCGAAACAAAGGCGTATAATTGTATGCGAAGGTGGCCATCCTCCGATAAGGGAAAACGGGGGAAAGGGAACTTTATTGTGTTAATGATGCGGTTGCCTAACCCAAGGCGCTGAGTTCCTGGCCGGAATACTTCTGAAACTCCCCAGTTATGCAATAAGAACAAATACGCAAACAATGTGAATTTCTCGAGGGCTATCTGCACTTTAAAATGCTAAGCCACTTATTAAATTGAAAATTATCAGTTGCAGATTACCAGAAAAGAATCTATTGACGGAATTGAGGTATTTATATTTTAATTGTAAGTTAAGTTCAGCCATTTTATCTTTACATATAAAATTCAAAGATTGCTAAGCTTACACATGAAATTTTATTCCTTTTAATTGACCAAAATCACTGTTTGCACAATCTAGGAACCTTTTAGAATGTATAGCTTTAAAGTTGGCGAACTGAAACAACTGCTATACAAAATTATCTACATTAGGTACAACAATTAAAAGGAAAAAAACTACTTTTAATTACACAATTACTTGATAATTAGGATAATTACGGATACAACGTATGGGCACAACAAACATTTTCCTATAAAAGGTAAGGGAAAGGACTTTAAGTCAGTTATATCATGATGAGCAGTCCTGTGGTTGTGAGTCCGGCCAATCGCTTTCGCGAATTAACCAAGAATATCAACAGCTTAACCAATTTACTGGGCGTAGATGTCCTGGCAGCCGAGTTGGAGTTCAACTATCGCACCTGGACAACGATATTTGCGATTGTCAACTATGCGGGATTCACGGTATTTTCGATTCTTAATAACGGAGGAGACTGGGGAGTGGGCCTGAAAGCCAGTTTAATGGGAGGAGGACTATTTCATGGACTCGGAAAATTCCTGACCTGCCTGTTAAAACATCAGGAAATGAGGCGGCTAGTTTTGTTCTCCAGGAGCATTTACGAGGAATACGAGAACCGAGGAGAGTGCTACCGTACAACTTTGAACTCGAACATAGATCGATTGCTCGGAATCATGAGGATCATTCGTAATGGCTATGTCCTTGCATTTTGCATGATGGGCATTCTGCCTCTGGCTTTAATAATTTACGATGGAACCCGAGTCACTGCAATGCAGTACGTAATTCCCGGGCTTCCCCTGGAGAACAATTTTTGCTATATAGTGACGTACTTGATTCAGTTGGTAAGAAACAAAATTTAAATAAAAAAAAGAACGTTCACGCACAAATTATTTAATAATAGGTCACAATGGTTGTGCAAGGCGTCGGATTCTATGCAGGCGATTTGTTTGTCTTTCTCGGCTTGACTCAGATCCTAACATTTGCAGACATGCTTCAGCTAAAGATAAATGAGCTCAATGAAGCCTTAGAACAAAAGGCAGAAATTAGAGCTCTGATGCCAGTTGGAGGGGAGATTAAAGGAGGGGACAAGCGCCAGCATCTGCTCTTGGAAGTGATCAGATGGCATCAGCTATTCACAGAGTAAGATACATTTATACTCATTATTTTAATATGGAAAAACATTTAATATTCGAGTAATCTTTTATAAAAAGTGCATTTAAATTAATCACCAGTACAAATGTTAATATTTTTTGCAAGTGTCAACCCAGTTAATTTATAAGCTCTTAAAACTTTTCAGATGTATTCAATCTTTTTAAAGACTTCAGGAATTTTCGGCTTTTATTGTAATGACTAGTAAACCCAGCGAACTCCGTTCCGCCACCAGATGGCGATAGTTTTAGGTAGAACTTCGTTTGGTGTTTAAAAGATAAAGAAAATTTTTTTTGTTTTATATATGAAAAGGAAAAATTTTATTTCGATACCATTAAAACTTTGGCCATTTCCGAGTGTTTTGCAATATTACACGTTGGTTCCTCAATAATTTGAAGATTTAACGGTAATTTTAATGCTGAATGAGCCGTTTGGCATCCTTCTAACAATATGGCTGCTATTCCCAAAGAAGCAACTGCAACAGCTATGTTGGATCTCGCCCGAACAGTTGCTAAAGCTAATGACATGAGGAATGTCTTGTCAGTACCACCAGGGGCATCTAGGAAATATAAACCACCATTTTCTTCATCGATTGCCTTCATTAAAGTATTATAAACTTTCTTCTGTTGGGAATTCAACAGGGGTACATTCGCTTGAACTAATAAATTTAATTCCTGGTGATCATATTCACGTTCCCGTTCTAATTCTCGATTAAATGCCTCATTCATTTCACGATTTGGCGCTGGCATTCTAACCTGATTAATATATTACCGCACATGAGGTAACACATATATTATCTTCGATCAAGAGTAAAACCCGATAATGTATCTCCTCATTCATCAAATTGTTCACAATCAGGATGGCGACTTCGTCTATTGTTGGAGCATTAAATGTTCTTCGTGTGTTCCAGATGGTCGTTTATCTGCTTTTATGACAACTTTATAGTCATCATTTGGCATGCGCTCTAAAGCACTCTTAAACAACCTGACCATCGCATGATGTTCATGAAGCAGACACTGCATGTCTTGAAGAATTGCTCGCTTCATCCCTTCATTGATCGCTAGACGTCGATCAAGTTGTTCTTCCATGTTGCCCATGAAATATATTTGTAAAAATTTTTTTTGTGTATCTTCGAAAGGTAGTAATGATCCAATTCGATGGTGAATCTGCCCTTGTATCTAAGATAAAGTAAGTTATTCTTTAACTATATTCTATGTAATACAAACGAAAAAAAAAACCTTAAATGTCGGATTAAATCCTCGTTCTTCGATAATATCTGCCCCAAATGACGTCATTTGGAAACAACCATTGTATTTTCGGGTATTTGCAAGAAAGTGGCGTGATTCTTGTGTTTCACCACAAAGCAACGAATACAATGGCTCAGGTGGCGGAGTCAACAATGGCAATTTAACTTAACCATTAAAGCAGCATAATCCAGGCGTTTCTCCGGAAAACTTCAGTGCACCGCAATACTCGCAAACAACGTCCATTTGCCCAATGCAAACGCTAGGATGCAAGCTGTAATCAGTGATGCAATCGTATTGAAACGCTGCTCGATTCAAATCAGCACTTGATAAATTTCTTCTGCGTCGCAAATGATCTATTTCTTGACCTCTGTTGTAAGCTCGACGATTCTGCATTGTCAACCGAGCCGTATTACGGATTGCCTCTCTTTGCTCTGCTGATTGAGTAGCACGAAGTCGACCCATACTAACGCGGTTCTGTTCACGTTCAATGTTTTGTTCTTCTTCAGACCTTCCATTTGCAGTATTTCGTAGTCTTCTTGCATTACGGCTTTGTCGGGAAAGATTCGATCGTCTTGGTCGCGGCATTATTAATTAAACTTCCCTTCACTTCAATTCACAAAAAGCACGAAAAACTTCACTTCACTTCAATTCACCAAAATCACAAATAACTTCAATTCACTTCGAAAAAATTGAGTTAAAATGCTATGGTAGTGTGTGCTTGTCAGTGTGATGAGGTAATAACTCAGTTTATATGCGATTTTTGGTATGTCGAACGGAATAAAAAGTACCCTAAGTCCTATTCCGGGCTCTAAGCTACCTTCCTACCAATTTTCAGCCAAATCTGTTCAGCCGTTCTTAAGTTATAAGTGGTGTAACTAACACAACTTGCTTTTATATATATAGATTAATATATTATGATTCTTATTTTTAGCTACTGTGGCTCAGTAAACGCACTTTATTACGAATTGATCGCAAGTCAGGTTTTATCCATGGCTTTGGCAATGATGCTCAGCTTTTGCATAAATTTGACCAGCTTTCACTTACCATCGGCCATCTTCTTCGTGGTTTCCGCCTACAGCATGTCCATATACTGCATTTTGGGCACAATTCTAGAGTTTGGAGTGGGTTTAAATTGTTTTCAATATCTAAATACAATTTTTGATTGTTTTTTTTACGATAGTATGACCAGGTGTATGAAAGCATTTGCAATGTGACCTGGTATGAGTTGAATGGAGACCAACGAAAGTTTTTCGGACTGATGTTACGAGAATCCCAGTACCCGAAAACTATTCGAATACTTGGAGTAATGTCGCTGACCGTAAGAACGGCACTACAGGTTAAGATAAAATAAATTGCTAGATTTTATATACCCACAATTATAATATTAATATTTGCAGATTGTAAAGCTGATTTACAGCGTTTCAATGATGATGATGAATCGTTGAATTCACAATACCGGACAAATTACAAATTTGTAGATTCTTAGCAGAACGACAAAATGTAAACAAAACATTAAATTAATTTAAATAATCACGCACGTTTACTATCATTTCTAATTCACTTGCTCAAAAATAAATAAAGTTATAGTTCAAATTATCGCTTTATTTTTAATAAGATTAGTCAGCTTATTCCACTAAATTATCTAATTGAATTTAAAGGTTTATTTACTAAACCCTTTTTGATAAGAATAAAAAAATTTAACTCCACATCCTTAAATAACTTTTTTTAATTTGACTCTAACACAAATTTACATTTGATTGGTTAGTTGTGGAAAAAACAGAAACAAAATGTTTGGTTAATCCAAGTTTAAGCCGCGCCCGAAATCGGCTTACAAGTTTTTTTTGACTTAACTTTGAAATGGGTTTCTCGCATTCGCTCCTGATGAACTGTCCTCGGGGTGTTTTTCCTGTTGCCATTAACCTTGGCCACTAATTACCAATGCACAGAGCTGAATTTATGGCATCGGTTTTATGGACCCCCGACTCAAATGCATTAATTGTGCGTCTCATTAAGGGGAGTTTCTTTTGCGCAAAACATTTAATATATCTCGCATACACGCATAAAAATTTAATTTATTTTGAAATGGTTCGCCCACTTCCCAGATATTTGGCCAGTGGACATTAATAGCCCCTGGACCGAGCCATGAATAATGGGCATTTTATAAATGTGGTCGGGACAATGGCCCGGATGCCAGGATAAAAAATAATAACAATAATTGTAACGTTATTATAATGCAGTTGTAATTAAGTACACCGTTGTCGTATATGCTGCCATCCAATGACTATAAAAAAGAAATGATTTTAATAAAATCAACAGTCGGAAGGTCAGGAAGGAGCAGAGCAACAGTTTGGTCAGCGGACTCAACGACCTCTTGAACGAAAAATTTACGAGCTTTTCGCAATCCATAATTTACTCATTTTTCATGTGCTATTTAATTAAGCTAAATAATGGCCGCAAGGGGTTGAAAGTTATTGCTTATTTATCCGCAAAGATAGGAGAACAGAAAGGCGCTCAAACAAGAGTATTTTTCACATAACTATATTTTGAAATATTTAAAAGTTTTGTGGAATATAAAACCGAGTTTTGCACTAAAATTACAAAAGTTCTCTAATTCAATAAATTAATTTTACGAACTTTTTTTACAAGAATAAATTTATAGTTGATTCATTTTTCAGACTTTCGAATATAATCATTAAATAAGATTTACTTGAATAAAATATTTTACAGGGATAATTCCAAAATATTATTAAATTGAAAAAATGTACATATATACATTTTTGATTTTTCAGTTCAAGATAACTACAGCATTAGAAATTTGTGTAATCATTTGTGAATCAAATGCATTGATACATTTTAAGCATGTTTAGCTTAACTTTTGAGCACTCCGAACAATTATAATCAATAAAATTTATGATTACGTTAATCAGGCCATTGTTCAGGCTATTAGCAACTGGAAACAGATTCTTTCAGCAGTGAAAACGATCGGTGAGAACAAGCCTCGAACACCTGGCCCATCCTGTGTCGCCCCTCGTAATGCAATTTGCTCGTTGCTGGCTGGCAGATAACAAAACTCATTTACAGCCTGTCCACTGCAATGACGCAGAATCGTGGCTTCGGTGGAAGGTGTAGGCACTCGGCACTTGGCACTCAGCTCGGCGCTCTTAACGTCAAGACACTTTGTATCAAATGCAGCGGCGCCATCAGAGTTGGGCCATGCAACACATTTTCTAATGCTTGTTTTGAATGATATTTGGGGCGGGCGAGGGGGAACAGGTTGGCGGGGAAGGGGGGAGTGGCTTGGGGCCAGGTCGCCAGCTGGCAAATAAAATAAATTAGTTGCAGTTGAAAGGTGGCTCAGACACAAAAGTCAACACGCAACGCGCGATGGAACCGCAAACAAACGCCAGCTGCTGGGCGCAGATAAAGTGGCAGGCAAACACGCCGAAGGAGCAGGACGAGGCAGCAGGACGTGGGAGCAGGAGGCGGGATGGAGCTCTAGACGCTGAAAGGACCTATGGCAAATCAGCTGCCAACGCAGCGCAGCTTACTGGCAAATATTAAAATGCGAATTTTTATGCTCGCTGACATTCGAGCCTCCCACTTTCTCCCATCCCCACTCTTCCCCCTCGAACATAATTCTCACTATGCGAAATATGGGGGAGCCTTCGGTGTTCGAAGCACTGAAAAATGTGAAAACAATGTGAAGATATTCATATATTTCCTAAGCAGTTTACTTAAAGGATTCTTAAACTAAAAAATTAAACGATTAGGTAGTAATCTTAATCTTAAGTAACATAATTTATATTTCTTCTTCCGAAAAGTTTTGTTTCAGCGCCTACTGCTTGTGTATTGTCTATTGCTCCTTTTCAAATAATAATTATTTACTTATTTTTATTAATAATTGCCCCTTTTCACACAACCATAACAAATATAACATTAAGTTTAAATGGATTAAAGGAAACAAAATACAGGCAACGTCTTATTCAAGAGTTATGAAAAGTTCGCTGAAAAAACATAATTAAAGTTGGCACATAACTTTTTTTTGAGCGGCTAAAAATACACATGTTGACCGGCTTTTTGGGGCCATCGAATATTAAAATTATTTGCCGTGTTTTGGTGGTTCGCCGTGGCCTCCTGGCTCCGGGCTCCTGGCTTCTGGCTCCTGGCTCCCGGCTCCTGACACCCGGCGTATCCTTTCGCCGGCATTTCTTGCCGCGCGCGCACATAAATTAGCTGCCAGGCTAAGAAATGGCGGCGGGCAGCAAAGGTTGTCCGCTCCCAACTCCCCGCTGCGGTTTGTTGCGCTCTGTTTATGCGGGTGCTGCTGGTGGGTGCATTAAACCAATAAATCAGCGAGCCACTGCAAAAAAAAAAAGCAACAAAAAGCAGAGAATAACACGAAAAGCGAGCAAACTGTTGTCAGGCACTCTTTGAGCCACCAGCGTGGCTCCGCATATTTAATCAATATGGAGAGCACAAAACACGAATTAATCTTGGCGCCCTTTAAAGCGCCTCGCATTTTTACAGACCGCACACAGACGCACCGGAGAAAGGCTTTTTTAATTTCGAGAAATTCTTGCGGCCATAAAAAGCTTGTCGGGCAAATCAATTAAATTTAAATTGTATCCCATTAGAGCCACATTAAATGAGTTAAGTCATTTGGGGGACCGCGTGCCGCGTCTTAGCCTTCTTTTATACGGCTTTGAAAAGGGTACAAATGAATTCATTTTATTTTTTGACGCACATAACCGCCCCTTGTCCCTCAACCCCTCAACCCCTGTCCCTTGTCCCAAATCACCGGAACCCAACCCAACCCGCCGCTGCACAGTGGTCGGGCTTGTATGGAGCCGCGGTCATAAATACTTCTAGGTGTGCTATCGCTATGAAACTTTCACAAAAAATCTATAAAAATATTATAAATACATTATAAAAAAATTGACCGGATCGTTCCACTATATCCTATAGCTTCCATAGGAACGATAGGAAATTTGACTCCCAAATGCACACTACACTTTTTTTAGAGCGTAACTGACAAAAATTATAATTATTAAACACATAATTTTGGTTAAAAAATTAACAAAAGATAACAAAAAATGATGACTAACATAAATTTAAAGTAATATAAAAGTAATATGAAATAAAAACAAACGAAGGCACAAAACAAAAACATGCCTCCCTCCTAAATAGAGCTACTGGAAAATGAGGTTAGGTTGCATTTTGTTATGTCAAAAGTGCATCTGCAGGCTTCCGCAGCTGAAGTAAGCATTTTTATAATCTTGAAATATTAGTAAATAACGGCACATACATTTCATTTGGGGGCAACGGGGGGAAAATACTTAAAACTTTACATAAACATTAGTAACGCACAACATATATGAACAAAAAAGTCGCACTTTTTTAACAAAGATTTACACGAAACACAGGACAAATTATTTATATATTTATCTTAAAAAATAAAGTTTATACCATTATGTACAATATCCATTAAAATAGTTTTTGGATTAACAGCGTTTTATAATATATTTAAATTTTTGAAATTTGCGTATGCACTCCCCTGCAGTGGCTTTCGGTTTATTGCTTGGTTTGCGCGCTCACTTTGCGCGCCAATTACTCCGCAGAGGTGTGGAGAAAAAAAAAACTAATAATTGTTTTTTAAGCCTTGTTCTATTGATAAACAGATGCGCCAAATTTGAAATCAAAATTCCAAAGTTGATTTTTTGATTTTTGGCCTATGGGGCCGACCACTGTGCGCTGGACGCAATTAAAATGCCCACGAGCTACTAATTTGCCATGAAACGGCGGGTGGCTCGCCAAAGGGCCCAGAGGCCCGATTTTAAAACGCTGCCGAAATTTAAGAGTTGATGGCTATTAATTTATATTATGCATGATTTGTGTAGCATTTTTCTGATGGCACAATCGCTTTTGGGCCCAACCGGCTGTCGGTTCCCAGAATTGCCTTTTGCATTCTGCGGTGAATGCCATTTTCCAGTTTGTGCGTTGTAGATGTTTATGCAAATGACTGAAATATTTGGGTCATGCAGCTGAGGCTAACAACTGACAGGCAGGAATGGGATGGATCCAAGCCTTGAACATCGAAATAATTACAGAGATTAGGCCACAGTGAATGGCGGCGGAATTTATCAACGGTCAAATGAAAACACTAAAAAGTTGATTCCAAACTAAACTTCTAGAACCGACTATTTACATTTATATAAATTAAATGAAAAAAAACAAAGGTATGTCAATAAGAAACGGTTTAAACAAAAATCTGTATGCATTATGAACATAAAATTCATATTAAGGCCTATCCTTATTTTTAAAAAAGTATTGAAGCTAGATAATTGGTTAATGCATCAAATATTCAACTTTTATTTCATATATTTACCATCGAAAAAGCTTGTAGCTTTACAATATTTTGTTACACATTTTCATCTCGAAGTCCCTG